TGGTCATAATCACGCGTTAAATTAATGAGTTTAAATGCTATTTTTGGCTTTAACTATTGCACACACACACTAACACACACACACAGGTTTAATTGAAGCCAAGTTGTGGAGTGTCTCAGTTTCGAGTTCGGGTTCGGGTTCGAACCGGCGGCTATGTCTGCAACTTCGTTACAGCCCCAGTCCCCTCCCCCCGCAAATTATGAGAGACTCACAGCCAAGTTCAGGCTCAGCTTTGGGCCAACCGGCTCCGACCGCGGCGGCTATATTAAATTTATTTTAATGCCAAACTCGAGCTTCAGTTCCAGCCCGACATCCAACTCTCCGCTCACATGGCCAGTGGGCATGGTTTTTATATTTTCTCCCATGGAGGCCAGTTGGCCCAAATCGCGTTTCGCTAATTATTAACCCTGCCAGGCAGCCCGATCCCTTTTTCCAGTTGCCAGTTGGATCCCATCGATTGCTAAGTGCAGATGTGGGGTCAATCGAGATTTGGTACAATTTTCGGAGCCATCTGGCTTGTGACTAAGGAAAGGTCAAGACAGCGGAAAATGGGATTTGAACGAGGATGTTGACTGTGATTCATATGTTAACGGAATTCCTAGTTACAAAGATGTATGAATCAGCCGATGATTTATGGCACAAATGGGATTACATATTCAAAGCTCGCAAAAAATCTATTAAAGATCATTCGTAATATTTGGAGTACTAAATAAATAAATAAATACAAGCCAAATCGATTTTGTTTTGTTATTTATACATTATATATATATCCTATATGTTTACAGAATACAGAAAACAACTTAACAAATATATATACGGTAATATCTTTACTTATAAGCATTTTACCAATCAAGTCTATTATCACGCAATAGAAATTACCTTATTATTTATGTTATTGTAGGCCACAATAACAACCGTAAGCCGTTCATGTTGTTGTCGTTACAACGTCAGCCATATTGTTAATAATTTTTTAATACCACCATAATTAAGACGAAGGCAATTTGCCATTTGCAGTTTGTTGCTTTTTTCTCTCGCTTTTTTTTGCGTAAATGAAATGAAATTAAGGCAAGGAGCCGGGGGGTAGTTATAGCCAGACAACGTCAAAATCAACTTGCCAGATACTTATTACATTGGCCCGAAGTCGCTTGATGATTATTGGCATTACGTGGACGTGCATAAGTTGAACTTACTGGCAATATAATTAATTTATACTTAAACTCTCTGACAATTTCAATGTTGCATGCAGCTGGCGCAGAGACGAAAGCCGCAAACAACCAGCTCGACACACAAATTGCTTGGTAATTTATTTGCAATTAATTTTGAATTAATATCAACGAAAGACGGACGCCCGTCGACCGACGAACCAAAAAATGTCTGCAAAGGAATTTGGGTCTTGCCAGGCCATGTCTTGTCTTGGCTTGGCCCAAGAATCCGAGGAGGACAGGGCGGCGGAAGGGAGAATTATTTTTATGGGGCACCTTAAACGGGGGGTATAATGTGTGAAAAGGTTTTTATGCTGCCACGAATCTAAAACTTAACCGCTTTAAGACACGGCCATTTATCAATGCATCCACCATTTAAATAACCCTCGTCCCTACCCATTTTCGGTGCCGACAATGGGCCCATCATCTGTGGCTCATTTGCAGTCAATTTAGCGCTCACGTGGTTAGTCATAAACATTTTTGCACAAAACATTCATTTAATAAGCAATTATTGCCTGCTCCTCTTTAATATTTTGTACCCCGCCTGCCTCCGCCTCACTGTGCTGCATTTACGCGTCAAGACTCTCAACTAATTACAAACGATTTACATGCAACACAGCTGGGCGTACGATAACCAGGGCCAAGAACATTGGAGCAAGAACCAGGCCAGGTTCTTAGCCTCTCCAGATAATCCCGCTCGAGTATTTGCAACATTTAAAGCAAAATGCAGAAACCGGTCTTCGTCATCATCATCATCATCATCACCATCACGATGACACTGCACTGCAGCCAGAGGAGGAGGAGGAGGAGGACGAGGAGGAGGAAAACACCCACGGGAGTAAGCAGGCAAATCAAATCCGCTTGGCACGCACGTAACATGGTCGTAGAGCAGAACCCGCGGTTCATTGCGCATGCGCAACGTGCTCCCCTTGGCCAGAAGGAGTGCAATTTGTGCTCAGCTTATAATTAGCACGGCTCACATTTGAGCCACATCCGTGCTCGACTTTCACCAGCTGGCGATCAGAGGCCAAAGGCTTGGCCACTAGCTGCCGGATGGCGGATGGCGGACGGCGGCTCATTAGACGCCCATGAGTCACCCAGCGGGTTGGCTAGCCGACTAGGCTTTCAAGAGCTGCCGCCTTGGCCCCAAAAAAATTGAAAAATGGAAAAGCCCAGTACAGCTGCGTACTCAATGAGTCCGCGCAGATCAGGCCTCGTAATTAGCTGTAATATATCTCCGTTTCGGCTAGAGTATTTTTGGACTACTATCTTAGAGTTTCCTTCGAGGTGAAGAATACTATAACTATACAAATAAATATGTCCTTGCATGCTTGGTTCTCGATAAACAGAGATCTAAATCTATGTCATAGATTAATTATACTGCGAATAGTTTATCCTTCTTCGAGTTTTAAAAGATATATGCTTTTCAGTAATTATAAGTAACTGGACATTTTTAAAATGACTTTTCTTTAAAACCTTTTTTGCCAAAAGCTGTTTAACTTTTTAACTATTATCATATATTTTAATGAAAAATAATTTTATTTGTTTTCTATTCTTTTACCTAAATAAGCCAAACAATTAAGAAAGTGTGTCAACTCGTTTCATTGATTTCCTTTTAGCACATTAATTTTCAGTAGATTGTACTTATAACTTTATTTTTTCTACTGGCCTCTAATTCGATTTTTATTGCACCTGGATTTTCTTGTTTGGCGCTGCCAATAGACAATTTATTTCTCATGTACACACTATTTTCCTCAATCGCCTTGCGAGTGTGTGTGCTGATTATTTCGCGCTTATTATTTGCTGCCTTTGAGCTTGTGTGTTTTTTCCTTTATTTTTTGCTTAATTTTCAATAAATGCTGCGGCTTTGTTGCCGCTTGTCTCTCCGTCGCAGTCGATTACTCATTTGACTGCATGCACATAAATTGTATGCACTTTTCCATTTTTTTTGCGCTTTTTCTATATTTTGATTGCTTTATTTTTTTATTAATTGCTTTTTACAGCATTTTGTTAGTGCTGCCAGGCGATGGAGGAGGTAAGTAAGTAGTTTCTCGGCGGCTCTAAGTGTGCGTGCTGTATCGTGTGAGCTGATTGTGTCATTAGAGTGGATCGCATTCGACGGATACCGAGACTCCGACAGAGACAAAGCGGCCCAAATGCCACAAAATGCGGTCGAAGAGATACTTGAGACCATGCAGCGAATTGATTTGCCATAAGAATTGGGTCAACAATCGGTAAACGTTCGAATTTAATTGGGAATTTTAATGGGTAAATTACCAACGCCATATTGGATATGGTAAATTAATATGCCAAGGCGTGTTTTATATATTTTTTCGAATTGAGGGTGCAATTTATGTAAATCAACTGTACTTTCAAATTTCGTTAATAATATATATTTATTTAAACGCTTAACTTTGAAATACCACAAGAATAATTGTAAGTTAAAATAAAAATTGCAAATTTCGGAATAAAAAATACTTCTGATCTGCTAAAAATCCTGGGAATTTAACAATCCGCATAATTTGGTATACATTTCCCGCCGAAACAGTGTCAGCTTCAAGAACTCTCAAAGCTGATCCCTTTATTATCCGAACTCATAATTTAGTCATTTTTACGAGCAACGACAACAATCGCCCAATGTCCAAATGGCAGAAAAAATTAGGCAAAATAAACTTGAAAATAGAGCTCGCATTGATCAGCAGATCGCTTTGTTGTTCTGGCTCTGGTTATAGTTAGCTGATTCGCCGCTAAACTATGTGCCACAAGGCAACAAGCAACACAAAAACCCAAGACCCCAAAACAAAACCAAGCTGCGAAGCCAACGAGGACATGCGAAATTTTTATTTATTGCTGACAATTGCACAAAAGTTTTTTTCCCTTCTGTGATCGGTTTTTTATGGTCATTAAAATTGGGACAAAAATATTTTTGACCGCGCTCGAAGTCAAAGTTTTTTTTTGTATTTTCTGTTTTTGTTTTTCTTGTTTGGTTATTTGGCGATTCTAGAGCACGACTTCGATGGAGAGACGGCCTGGGGCAAGTTCTCGTTCTGTGACGCGGATTTGCCCTTGATTGGCCAGGTTGCAACATTCTGAGGCCCGCCGGCCGATCAAACTGATTAGGCGGGTCCAAAGCGGCGACTAATTAATGATCCGTCGCCCGGGTTTTGTATGCTAATTAAATGCGCACAAGAAATCGATTTGACAATGTGAGGGCGGCACTTGGGCCACGAGGGGAGCGGAATCGCAACTCGGATATATTTATGGATGAAACCAGAGACAAGAGCATGAGCTTCTTGCTGCTAAACATATCACGCAATCTGGTCTCAGAGGTATTTTCTAACCTGTCCCTTAAGGGATCTGTAGTTTGCAGTCAGAATAATAATATGAGATAAATTAATTTCTTAAGTCAAGTAAATAAATAAATTTAAACTGTTCTAAACTCAAGCAAATCCGAAGCCATAGCGTTGTTAATTAACAGGAGTCACTATAAATTAACTAAATATTTTTGTTAATAAGCCCTATCGAAATTACTTGTTTTTATTATGCTTGTTTGGTTTAACGATTTAACGATTTGTTGAACACTAAATGGCCTGGATAAAACATAATATTATTGATGTCTTTTAAATACATATTTTTGGGAACTGAGTAAGTAAATAAAATATAAACAATAAAATCTAAACATACTCTTTGATATACTTCACGAACAACTAGTATTTTGCTATTAATTCGACTAAAAACATGGCAGTTGCTCAGTTGGAATGGCATTATTTATGAATTCAGCGATTCTGTTCGACTCACCGACTCGGTTTTAATGTTGAGCGCCAGGACATGAGACGAGCTGTTCGAGGAGGCCGACGGCGGTGAAGCGGGCGCAGCTCCGCTGCACGGTGACTTGGCGGCAAGTGCGGCGGTGGCGATGGCGTTTAGCGGTGAGCGGCTGCTGGGCAGCGGACTGGCCTCCCGGAGCGGACTGCTGCCCGCTCCCGCTCCGATGCCAATGGCCATGCCGCCGAGGCTCTGGGAATAGGGCGAAACCGGCGATTTGTTGGCATTGGTGGAGCAATTGGAGGGCACCACGGCGGCGGTGGTGCAGCTGGTCAGGGTGCTGGTGGCCGAACTGGAGGATGATGAGGATGACGAGCACGACGACGATGAGGACGAGGAGCTGCTGCTGTTGTTGTTGGTGCTGTTGATGTTGCTGGTGCTGCTCTTGTTGCATATCATAGCCTGCATTTTGGTATTGTTGTTGTTGTTGTTGCTACTACTGTTGTTATTGTTATTGTTGTTGTTGGTGGTGTTGGCATTATTATTATTAACACTGGCCCCGGCACCGGGCATCAGGCTTCCATCGCAGAACTCTCGCTTCACAATATTGCTGCCGTTGTTGTTGCCGCTGCTGGTGTTGCCGCCGATGTTGCTGCTGCTGTTGCTGCTGCTGCTACTGCCGCCGGGCGTCGCACCAATGGCCGCCTCACATGGCAGCACCGTACCGAGCATCTTGTCTAGCGTTGTGTACTGTGACTGTGACGTCGTGGATTCAGCGGCACCGGCAGAGTCCTCGCAGCCCTCGGCCATGTCACGTGTCACTGACCCGCTCGCATCCTGGGCCACTCCTGCAATGGACAATGCAAAAGCGGCTTAAGTACCTCATGATGCATTAAATATTAAGCCCATAATGGGCGACACTTAAGAAATAAAATAAAAAGTTTACATTTAAAGGAACATACTGATTCTTAAGAGTTGCGTTAAATTTCGCATAAAACAAGTAAAAACTTCTTAAGTCTCTGTAATCTCTGTAATTTAAAGCCAAACCAAACATCTAAAATGATGTATTTTTTTAAGGATTTCCAGTCAATAAAAGTCATTGTTTTAAAAAAAAAAAGTTCCAACATATATATTTGTATCTCTCCGATACTTTCAAACCTCATCATTTACTTCTTCACTCACATGTTAATATGAATCAAAAAGAAAAAGTCAAAAATGTTAGTTTAGCAGGGACCTTAAAATTTCTCTTTTAAAAGTTCTTTCTATATAAATTTAAAAGAAAATAAATAACCTCCGATTGTTATTAGTAAAATTATTTTATTAATCCATCAACAAATATAAAATTATTATAAAAAAAAATATTTAAAACACCTTCAAAAATCACAAAAAGTTTCTTTCAAAACTTTAAAACTTATTTATGATATAAAATCAATTTATGCAGATAAGTTTAAATAATATGAGAGAACGAATTCAGAAATGCAAAGCTTGCCATAATCAGAAATCAGCAAAACATTACTGCTTTACCCCTTTACCCCTTTAATATCAAATGACGTCCGGCTGTAAGCCCCCTCACCTGAAATATTTCCTCCTACTCCTGACCTCTAAGGGGCATCATAATTTAGAATTTACATTTATCGAAAATATTTCGTGCACTTAAAACTCATACCCAGGCGCATTAATTTCATTAATTATCCCTGTTGCCCGTCGGTTGACCACGGCAACATGGCACAAACAACAATAAGAGGGCTGAGAATCAAGGAGTGGCTCCAAGGGGGCGGAATGGAAAGGAGAGCCCACACACGCCACATAATTTTGCAAATGCAAAACGTAGCCGGCGTTCGAGTCGGCGTCCGTTTCTCGATTCTGAGGCCATGTCCTTGCCAAACCACGACGTTCTGCATCGGACAACGAACGACTTTTACCGCCGGAATTGTGAGGAAAAAACTACATAGAGAAAAACCGGCCAGTTATCTGATTAAAAAATCCATATCCAAATCATATGAAAAATATGATATGAATTTATACTTCTTTATACGTTTTATAAAAATATAGAAATGAATCAAAATTTCTGATTTAAAATCCCGTTCGGAAATCAAATGGAAAATATGATCTATGAAGAACCACTTTACTTTAATTTATAACTTTGAAAACGGATAATTAAATCAATACGAATTTTATAAAATATTTCTAGATGGTGAAAATTTTCCGAAACTATTATATTTTGTAGCCCAATCCACTAGCATTTAAGAATTGTACCGTTTTCATGAAATTTCTCTTATATATTTTGAAAGTACATTTTTTTGTTCTGTGTAGGATTCGGCATTATGGGCACAAAAGCAACAGCATACGGGTGGTTTCTGCACAGGAGGGATGCAAGTCCCGTGGAATGAGGATGGGGCAGTTGGGTGGTCTGCACAGTCGTAATCGAAAATTTTACACCTACTCTGCATTATAATTTATACCCGAAGAGGGACAACTGACCAAAAAGTGTGCGAGGGAGGAGAAATGTGGCGAACGTGTCTGGCAAGAAAGTTTTTCCTGCATTCAAGAAGAAGGAAAAGTATGTACGATAGGAAAAATGAAGAGTGAGATGCAGAGAGAAAGAGGAAAATTACCGAAAATGTTGTTCAAGTGCAAGGGGAAGCATGGCAAGTTATCTGGGGAGATAACGATAATAAGTAGGAGAGTTTTCGAAAGGTTTAAGGCCTACACTCATCTGAAATAGATTCCACTAAATGTCATTTTCTCTGAGCTCAGGCTGCAGCAGCAAAGCCTGGGGCCTAAGCCGGACCCAGAGGCGTCTAAATTTAGGCAACAATTTGCACTAAAGAGCTTACCTAACTCCAAGCCACAGAGGAACCATCAATGCCTATGCCTTGACATTTGGCCCCAAAAAACAGGAGACCAACATTTTGGGCGAGAGGAGTGGAAGAAAAGGTCCTTCGTTGCATTGTCTGCAGGTCTACACAAAACGGGCGTTGATTTTAATGCATAATGCATACAGCTGGCTCCTGTCCCGTCCACTCCACTCCTTTGGAGCCCAACAGCCCATCCTCGCAGGACGTGCCATGTGTGTGAGTGTGTGTGTCTGCAGTTGTAATAATGCAAGCAACTGCACTCGGAACTCAGAACTCGGAACTCGAGTCGCAGTCGGACTCAAACTTCTGCAGCTCCGATTCAGACCCTCAGTTTGCTGTTCCTAATGCACTGACCCAAAAATTCTTTATACATATTGTTACGATTAAATATTTCATTTTAGTATATATATTTTTTTTTTCAAAATGATTAAATACAATTTTAAAACTAAAATGAAATAATGAAGAAATGCTTTCCCAATTAGTTTAATTAGAGAATTGTAGTTTGTTAAGAGTAGGTTGTAAACTGCAAAATTCTATATGCCTTCTCGGGTTAGCTTAATGATTGATTTATCGCAAAACATGAAATAAGTTGTTTTTAAAAGAATTAAAGCTTTTTGTATAATGTAAATTATTTAAATGTTTGTTTAAATTTAGTTGTTGAGCTTTTGTGATTTTCTAATAAGTTCTGAATAATTTCACATTGGAGCAGAATTATTAGAATAAAATATGCAGCATATATACATATATATGCGGAAATAATTCAAAATTTTTAACTGGTAAGCAAGTAATTAAATTGTTTTTTGAAGTGCCTACTGTTTGTGTCGACGTTGGCCAGCCGGCACCAGTCAACGAACGCACTTTTCCGGCCACACAGCCATTCACGTAATGAGCCACAAGGAGAGGGGGCTGGGGGTTGGGGGTTTGGGGGGGGGGCAGGATCTGGATCTGGAGCAGGGGGAGCGAAATGCCAGGACTGTGCCTTGAAAGTTGGAGTGTGCAGGACATGCAATGCCAATGCCTGAGTCTGAGTTCGAGTCCGAGTCCGAGTGCGAGCCTGTGCCTGAGCAAAGCCTCGTGCTGTGGATTTTGGCCAGGAAAAGGCTGGCTTTTTGGGTGGTGAGAGGGCGTAATAATTAATTTCGTACGTTGCATGCAAATGTCTGGCCATCGCCAACCAACCCTTCTCCGGCATCTGGCATATGCATAAGAAGCAAAAACAATGCATAATATCAAGAACAGCAACAAAAACAGACTGCACATCGGCGACATACAAAATAATTTCAAGTATGCGTCAACGGCAAATGCCAAAAGCCTGTGCAGTTGCAATCTAAGGGAGCGTTTCTGGTTTCTAGGAGTTGCAAGTTGGTGCAACATGTTGTGAAAGCAAAATGTAGCGACAAAATGTGCAGCCAAATTAAGTACAATTTGCGCATATTAAAGTCTGGCCAAATTACACGGAGGCAGCAGCAACAGCAACAGCAGCATGCAACAACGGCAACATTTTGTCGCTTCCTGCGATCGCCGTTTGCCTCGAAATCTAATCAATAACCAGCAAACTAGTAGAATTTCATGTAGCACACTAAATAGCACGATTAATTATCGCCATGCTGGCAACTATAATTCAAATCAAGCTCGCTTCATTTTCAATGCAAGCCAGCCAACATGCCATCCGCAACGCTCCTATCGACTTGCAAACGCATTACAAACCGGTCTAATTATACTCATTTTCTTGCCTGCCTGCCACATGTTGCTGCTGCCAGGCTATAAATTGCAATTTCCATGCAACTTTCTATCGCCGGTTAAGAAGCCAACTGAACCAACTGAACGAACAAAAAATTTATCATTCAAAGTCGCCCCTCCGCTGGATCACTGGATCGCTCCGGATCGCTGGATCGCTCCGGATCGCATCTATAGCATATGGTCGTTTGGCGAGCGTTTTGTCTTCGACAGCAATTCGTAGGCAATATTCAAATTAATAAAATCATCAATAATTTCGCCCCGGCTTGGCAAACATGTAGAACATGTTGCTGCTGCACTGCAGCAACTTGTTGTAATTAATAGTCTAACTAAATTGTAGCACACTTGCCATCATTTAGAGTTAGGAGCCGAATGTGGCACAAAGCAATTTTTGATTAGAAACCGGGCACTGGGGGTCTGCACCAGCGGACATCGATCCCCCCAAAACCCCCTTCATGGAATGCCCCCCTCCCTCTGCGGACAACTTCATTTTTATGGCCAGCTCTGGGGCTATTAAATTTTTCTTTTGATTTGTAATTAGCGCAAAATGCATATTAAATAGCAAGCGACAAACTCGAGTGCCTCGGCCTTTGAGGAAGTGAACGGAGGTTGGCAGGTGGAGTTTTTGCGTTTTTGCTGTTTTCGGCAGCTTTAGCCAACTTTTACCATGGCAAAAATAATCAATAATGCGCCGGCATTAAGTCATTGAGTAGAACTTATTTATGCAACATTTATTTACGCACATACACACACAAACACCCAGAAGGAGCATAAAAAGTTTTGCAAGTTGCCGTTGTTTTTGTTCTTGCCGGGCTGCATTGTTTTGGGGTTGTTGCTGCTTTTCCCATCGGGGGTGTATGCCAGAACGTGCAATTTTCTTAAAAATTACACACGATTACACATGAAATACACCGTCTGATATATTATGGTAAGGCCAAGGGTTACGGTGGAAAGAAGGGAAGGGGACTTTAAGTTGTCGGCGTCATAAAGTTTCCAAGGCGTTGGAGGGATTACAACTGGGAGTGGCCTTAATAAAGGAAATTAACCAGGAATGACTAAGACTTACGGCTTAAAAAAACGTAGAAATAGCTCTAAATTATAAGAGCTTCCTTAAAAATGTGACTTCATATAAAAAATAATATTTTAATTTCAAGAGAAAGAAATCTATTGATATCAAGTCAAATATGATCTATTTATCTTGATGGCAAAGGGGGGTTTGTGTTGAAAAAAAAAGCTTTTTTTTTTCCATTTTC